TTGAGACACCCGGACAGCTCCTGCACAGGGAAAGCTCCCAGTGAATATTAACACCTGTGAGGATGGGGACCACCCTTTTTTCTTTAAAATATATTTTTATTGATTTCAGAGAGAGAGAGAAACATCAGTGATGAGAGAGGATCATTGATCAGCTGCCTCTTGCACTCCCCACAACTGGGGATCAAGCCCACCACCCAGGCCCGTGCCCTTGACGGGGAACTGAACCGTGACTCCCTGGTTCATAGGTCAACGCTCCACCACTGAGCCCAGCCGGCCGGTGGGATGGCCTTTTTTTTTTTTTTTTTTTAATATATTTTATTGATTTTTTACAGAGAGGAAGGAAGAGGGATAGAGAGTTAGAAACATCGATGAGAGAGAAACATCGATCAGCTGCCTCCCGCACACCCCCTACTGGAGATGTGCCCGCAACCAAGGCACATGCCCCCGACCGGAATCAAACCCGGGACTCTTCAGTCCGCAGGCCCACGCTCCATCCACTGAGCCAAACCAGTTACGGCTGGGATGACCTTTTTCGTGTATCCAGATAGTTTCTCCTACTCAGGCTTCGAGGCCCAGCTGTCCCCTCCTCTGAGAAGCCCTTTGCGCCTTAGTAACAGCATTGGTGGCGCGAGAATCAGGAGTCCACCCTGCTGCCTCCCCTCACGACTCTAGGCCCCTCGGGGGCCGGCACCGGGCCCGACTCACCCGGACGCCCCGATGCCCGGCCCAGAGGCAGGTTCGGCTCACTGAGTGAATGAACAAGTGACCATCCTGTCCGTGTGGACAGAGGCCGCCCCGGGACTCCATTTCCTGCACCTGCCGGGGCCCTGTTGTCAGCTGGCATGTCCTTGGGGTCACCGAGGTCCTGGTACACTGAGCAGGTTTGGGCACCTGCAGGACTGGGTCGGGGGGAAGGCTCGCACTTGATCAGGCCCCCGACGCCCCTGCTAACTTCAGGCAAGCTTGTGTGACCTGGCCAAGCCTCGGTGCCTCATCCGGAAATGGGGGTTCACTGAGTTATTGAGAGAATTCAGGCAGATGAAGCATGGTGCCTGGGAAAAGTGGGTGCTCGTAGAAGTTAGGTGCTGTGATCATTATTAATTATGCTTCAATCAACAAGCACCCAGGAGGGCCCAGCTTTTTCTGATGCCTCATATTCTAAAAGAAACACTGCCCATTGGGGAAAAAGGTTCGTTTGAGTATCTCCTATTAAATTGAGATTCTCTTTTAAAAATTATATTTTTGTTGATTTCAGAGAGGAAAGGAGAGCAGTGACTTGCTCAAGGTCACACAGCCAGGAGGTAGCAAACCCGAACCCCTCGCCCTTTTGCCCCAACAGGTCTGGCCTCACCCCACAGACAATGGCTTTGCCCCCCATGAGCTAGAGCCTGCTCCCCTCCCCCGGTGCCGGCCCCCCCGCCCCGCCAGCCAGCCAGCAGGATGCAGCTGTGGAAGGCGGTGGTGGTGACCCTGGCCTTCATGACCACGGACGTCGGCATGACCACGGCCATCTACATCTTCAGCCACCTGGACCGCAGCCTGCTGGAGGACATCACTAAATAATTGTTTTCAACATAGCACTATTGAGATTCTCTTTTAAAAATTATATTTTTGTTGATTTCAGAGAGGAAAGGAGAGGGAGAGAGAGATAGAAACATCAGTGATGAGAGAGAATCATTGATCGGCTGCCTCCTGCACGTCCCCGCACTGGGGATCGAGCCCGCAACCCGGGCATGTTCCCTTCACCAGAATCAAACCTAGGACCCTTCAGTCCTCAGGCCGACTCTGTATCCACTGAGCCAGACCAGCTAGGGCTAAATTGAGATTCTTGAAGATGAATTTCATGGCAACCCAATTGCATAAACTTGGACAAGTGGCTTAGCCTCTCTGAGCCTCAGTTTCCTCATCTGCGAAATGGGAAGAAGAAGAAGACCACACCTGTAGGACTATTGGGACTTGAAAGAGAGGAGGGAGCAGATATGTGGAGCGACAGTGCTCCAGGCAGGAGCAGGAAGGTCCCGGTTGTTAAAGGGACAGCAAAGAGGCTAGCGTAGCTGGAGCAGGGAGTGAGGGGGAGTGTGGAAGGTGAGGTCAGGTCAGGGCGCCGTGGCCCCAGTAAGGACTTTGACTGTTACCCTGGATGCGATGGGAGCCGTCGGACTGTTTAGAGCTGAGTGACGACAAGGTTTTATTTCGGCTTCACCGGCTGCCGCTGTCCACGGGTGGAGAGGCTGATGGGCGTGAGGGCGGAGCAGGGGGAGCCAGGAGTTGCTGCTGGGGTGGCCCAGGCAAGGCCGGCAGCGTGGACACGGGGGGGTGGGGGACAGGAGGGGCAGTAAGAGTGGTCGGGTTCTGGAGATGTTCTAGAGGCGGAGCCGCGGGTTTGCCGGCTGCAGAGCTCCGTGTGGTTCTGTGCAGATGGACAAGGGGGTGTGCTTAGCACGGCGCCCGCACCCGTAAGGGCTCCGTGAACACGTGTGGTCACTGGCCTTCACTGGTGCCGTCTGCGGTCAGTGCTGCTGGAGCTCCCCGATGCCTCTCTCCCCGGGGGTAAGCTGAGGCAGACTCCACTGCAGCGGCTGGAGACTCCGTGGCGGCTGCCACCTTCTGGTCCCCGTCCCACCACCAGCAGAGGGCGCCAGCACCCCACAGAAGGCCTCCCTGTCCCGCCCGAGCCAGTCCTGTAGAGCTGCCCAGGATTCATTTACTGACCTTTATTGAGCGCCGGCTGTATGCCCAGCCCTGAGCCAGGCTGTGGCCTCGGGAAAGACCGGCCTTGAAGACAGGGGACCCAGCCTGGTCTGACCACGCTCCACTCCCTGCCCATCATTCCCATAGAATGCGAGTGGGCACCCGGGTTTGGGGGAGGGAAGGGACAAGGAAAGACATCCCCCCAGATTGGAAGCTGGTTTGGATGTGTGTCCTGGCCCTTCCTCTTAATTGCCCTGTGACTTCTGGCAAATTACTCAGCCCCTCTGAGTCTCCCATTCCCCTCCCTGTGCATCCCCTCTCCCCACATCTGCCCAGGGTTGTTGTGAGGATACAGGACAAATGGGAAGGACATAATCAGCAAACTAAAGTGCCCCCCAGGAGGGGCGGGGCAGTTCCCAGCCAGGATACCAGCATAGCTGAGGCTCTAGAATGCAGACTCGAACCCCCCGCCAGCAGGAAAGCAGTGAGCTTTGCCGTCCCTGAGCCTGAGCGAGCGCCATCTCAGCTCCTCAGCGCCACTTTCCTCAGCTGTGAGGTGGG